TATATATACTCTGTCACATTTTTAAGTATACACATTTTAAAGCTCAATTTTTTAAAAACTCATGCTAACAATTACTTTCAAATTTTCACACCGAGTACGTGAAATACCTGTCACTGGCGAGTTGTTTTTCAGATTTCTTAACGCGCAAGTGGTTTTGTTACTGCATGCGTGTTACATGTTTTGTGGGTTTTTTAAAATAACTCATTCCAGGGATTTTATTTGTTTAAAAAAGAAGTACACATCAAAGCTTAGTCATTTTTGCAACATTTCGCCAGTGACAAAATTTGTGTTGTCTAAGTCTAAGTTTCATGATGCCACGCCAAAGAGAAAATGTGCGAAATTAGCTTTTTGGAATGATCAGTATATAGTTGTCTCCTTATCCAGTGCTGCAAGACATTTTAATCTAACAAGAAGACCTGTGTACGTAACAATGGGTCGCGAGAGATCAACCGAATCACCAAAGGATCGACCCTGTCGACTTGAGAGAAGAAAAACTATTCCAAGAGAATATACAGTACCCCTGTTGCATCTAATGAATCGTTTCCAAACAGCAAGACAAACCAGAGATGAGTTGAAAAAACATGTGACAACACCAGCCTCAGACACTTCCTCAACTTGAGATAGCATTGCAGTGCAGCGAATGATTGATTCCATGCGGCAACGATATCAGGCCGTCATCAATGCAAGGGGACATCATACGCGCTACTGATCGTGCTACTTTTGTAGACCACCCCCACACTATTGTAAGTCGTGAATAAACCTGTTTCGTTAACTGTCGGTATTGTTTGTTATTTTTTTAGTTTTTTAAAATTGATTGAATTAGCATTCCTGAAATTTTAAAGAATATCGGCTCATGGTGAAACTAGCTATTTTCATTTTAACACAGTGTATACTTAAAAATGTGACAGAGTATATATATATATATATAGTCGCTTTTAAGCACAATTTATCCCGATAAATGCTATTTTGAGAAAATCGAAGTAAAGTTTTTGTCCCATGTTCACCTTTTTCAAAAGATGGGAGAGTTTTCTCTATAACCAAACAAATATACACTCCAATGAAATAAAACTTCTCCTATATGTGGGGCAATGCCGACTTATGGTGTAGGTCAAGATTTCGTAGCCCGCTTGTCCTTAAAAGTGTCATATACATATATATATATATATATATATATATATATATATATATATATATATATATATATATATATATATATATGATATATATATACTAATGCACACGCACTCATACACACGTACCTACGCAAACACGTAGGTACGTTCACCAACCAACAGGACAACAATGAACCCCTGACCTTAAAGAGCGGGTCACCACTGGCGTTCATCTCTATTGACCTCAACAGCCGGCCTGTGATGTCCACGATATCCACAGTGGGCGGGAACTTGCAGGTCAGCGCCAGGTTGATGGGGCTCAAGGCGGTAACTGACCAGTAGTCTTTACGAGTCCTCACAGTGGACTGAAAGGCGTTGTTTAGGTTTTTTTAGTTTAAGTTTTACGGCACTTGCAAATCCATAAGGTCATATAAGTGTCGAAGATTAGAGGTGTTGCAAGAGAGTAACAAACATTTTATAAAAGGAGGGGAGATAGAGACAATAGATTTTTTTTAATAGAAAAGAAGGAGCAAACAATACCAGAGCCCTTGCCAACCACTCACTGGAAAGACGTTGAGGGTACTTTTGTAATTTAAAGTCGTGAAGAAAAATACTCGGCATCATCATAATCACTGGTAACAACAACATTATCACAAAGAGTCGAAAAACTATCAACGGCCTTGAAGATAAAGGCGCCCAATGACGTTGCTGATTTTTGGCCAACTTATGAAATTGTAGTGGTTTACTGATTAGTGACGTTCAGCCATTTCTGCGTTAAAAAAAACAACACAAAATACATTAATTCAGAAACCTTTCATTCATGTTACAAGTAAATTGACTTTGAAAACATGAAAATAGTGAAGCCTATGGCAATTTTCAACAAAAAACAGAGCTTTTTTTTCAAAACAGTATTATGGTATAGTATTTTACCTACGACTTTTAAAATTCTTTATCCATTCTGCAGAAACTTTCAGAAAACGTTTAATGTATTCAAACAAAGGTGCAAACTGCAGATTGTTAGTAAATTAACAAATATTTGATGTACAACAGATTATGTAACACAAGCTAGGTCGCAAATTATTATATACCAGCTGGGTACACGTTAAAAGAATCGTCGATCATCAAGTCACTGGAAATACTGCGCACGGCTAGTGAACGGAAACATCACTTGTTTACAATGGCGTCTTAGAAGATGGACTTTCCCAAGATTAGATCTAAACGAAACTAGTGAAACACTGAAAATTAAACTTCAGTGACTTCAGGCTGCTCAATAAAACTGTGCAAACGTTAATGATTCTGAACCACTATTAATTTTGTTAAATTCGAAAGTGCAGTGGTTCGGAAGTTTTACGCGACGAAAGTGACGAACTTTCACAAATGTAATATGTATATTGATGTCAGTAACATTCCAAATAGTTTGTCTTTAAAATTTAAACATGCCCGGGAACCCTCCTGTACAACATTTTGTCATAAGCAGAGGTGCACTCTCACTACGTTGGGGGAAATTTGGTGGATAAATAAAAAGCTAAATAAATACAACAAAAATCCTTAGTGATATATTTCATCTTGCTAATTTTCAATATGGCCTCAGTTTCCAAGCAACTGCTGCAGACAAGCATACATCAAAGTCTATGTAAAGATCTCGCTACATTATACATCAAAGTCTATGTAAAGATCTCGCTACAATATCTAAAACGTGTAAATTATATGTAAATAGATTTTATATCAGGTTTTTAGTTTTGAAAATGGGTCTCTGTGATCGTTCTACCCCAAAGGGCCAGAGGCAACACCAATAACATTCAAACAACAACAACAACAACAACAACAACAACAACAACAACAACAACAACAACAACAACAACAACAACAACAAACACAACAAGAGCAACAGCCACGAAAGTAGCAACATCAGAGAAAGCAGCAACAGCAGCAGTAATAGTGGTAATAAGAACAGTATACATACTGGCATTACTTTACTTTTACTTTTTCATCCTCTGGCATTAGTTATCCAAAAATGAAATATGTTTTTAGTAAGAGTTTTACCTCACTTGCAACACAATAAGGTCACATTGTACATATGGGACGAAGATTAAGTGTGTTACAAGACAGTAACAAATACAAACAGGAGAGATAAGGACGATCGATAATAAAGGAAAACAGAAGCTGCAAAAACCCGTATGATTCGAGAAGCAATGACACACACACACACACACACACACTCACACACACACAAACACACACACACACACACACACACACACACACACACACACACACACTCACCCAATCCCCACCACACACACACACACTCACACACACACGATCCCCCCCACAAACACACAAACACACACAAACACACACTACACACACACCCACATAGACACACACACACACACACACACACGCACACACACACACACATACATACACACACACACTCACACACACACACACACACACACACACACACACACACACACACACACACACGTAGAACTGAAATAATTCGATTCGATTCTATGTGGTGATTCTACTTCCAAATGCTTTTCTCACCTGTAAGTGAAGGTCCTCAGTCTTTGTGATGATGTAAACACATTGATGTCCTGTCACAGCAATCACGTTCACCTGGAACAGTTTTTACGAACTTATCTGATCTATCTTGTGACGTAAGAAATGTCGATTGAAACTTTAATGTTCACGTTTCTCTACTTTTCATGATCTATATCTTTGCGACGTCCATGTTTAAGTGGGATATCGTAAAACAATTAATCCTCTGCCAGATTCTCTTCTCTCCCTGTTTCTTTTTTCCCTTGCTGTTTTTGCCCGATCCACACTGCCATCCCCTTCTCCCAAATAAATTGAAATAATCCCCCATAATAAGGAGAAATTAGTAATAATAAAACCTAAAGAAAATATAGTTTAAAAAAGAAGAATGGAAAGCAGAGAAAATAACAATTCCATTGATACTACAACATTATGCTTTTCTTAACAAAAATGTTCACATTTATTTTTCCTTCTTTGGACTCGTACTTCCAGCTTGCGTATACCGGGTCAATTTTCACATTCCCTCGTTTATAACAACACCGTGCTTTCTCTGACTTTATAATAATAATAATAAATAGCATTTGTATAGCGCACATCACCGCTCAACAGCCGGCTCTATGCGCTTTACACTATATTATTACCCCAGCAGACCTTAGAACATTCCGAAACATTCTCAGCTTCCCAGGAAGCATACAGATATCAGCAGCTGATTAAGCGCTCAAACACTAACAAACTGACAAGATCTTTCGCTGTCTATAGCCGGGTACCCATTCCCACCTGTGTGAAGTGAGGGCAATTCATTTAAAGCGCCTTTCCCAAGGACACAACGTCGGGCCCCTGACAGGATTCAAACACACGACCTTACGGTTGCGAGTTCGAGAGCCTAAACACCAGGCCACCAACTTCTCACTTATACTCAGTGCACACTGCCAGTCGGAAACATTAAGATTTGATAGAGTCGGGGCCAGTCTGATATTCCTTCACAGAGAGGCAAAAGCAACACATTTGGCACAAAACGACTGAATTCAACTTAATTCAACAAAAGTTACCTGTGACCTTTGAAATCAAACACGTTTACTTTTCAAGGTCCTGAGTCGAACCGGTCGTCTATTGCCAAAATAGCAGCCTTTGCCCCTCTGTGAAGAAAAATATGACTGGCCCTGACTGAATCAAATGAATCTGATTAGTAACATGCACTCGGCACTACACATCACCGTATCAACCAGTAAGTAAGAACAAACCTGCAATTTGGTGGTGCCCCAAGGCTGCGTCTTCAGAGCCAGTTTGACAACCCTGGGGTCTCCAGCGTCTGTGATACTGGCCATTTTCAGACACTTATTCTTGTTGTCCGTGGCGATCAAGGAGCCGTCTTCTAGTAGCAGGATGTCTTTGATCACAGGGTCCTCCAGGTCTTCAGGCATGCGCAGAGAAAGCTGTAACAATAACACAACTTAAATGTTAAAGCAGTAGTCGAATTTTGGATAAAAGTAAAGATTAGCCCTCCACTTAGAACTCTTTGTATTAGTGCGCAACGTCTGGGATCACGTTGAGGTCACGGTTGGGGGGGGGGGGGTTCCAGCAAAAATTTAAAAAATCGTACAGAAACAGCAGGCTGTGACAAAACCCAGTCATTGAAGGAAGTGAAAACATCATTATGTACTTGTCGGTATGACGGGGAGTTTCACTTATCTTAAGAAATAGGGGAGATGTCAAATAAATAATAGCCACAAAACGTTTTTAGAAATCACTATTTAGACATTTACTTTGCTAAAGATTTATTTTTAAAACGTACCTGCTTTGTCTTGAAGGCTATGACGTGTCCACTGGCATCAGAGCCAATCATTTCGACCATCTGTACAAACGTGTTGACGACACCTTCCTCCACGTTCACCGAGCTGCGGAAAGGTGTGAGGTCATGGCCCTCGGGATCCCGACACAGTCTGTACAGATGATTGTACTGCTCATCGGAGAGAAAAAGGTCCAGAAAATAAAGAAGGAATTTTTTGGGTTCAATTATAGTTAGTAAATGTTTTACGACATTTGCAACACAATTTGGTCCGTATAAGTACCGACGATTAGAAGTGTTTTACAGTTTCAAGCGAATAGCACACAAAAAAGGAGGAGAGATAAGGACGATACATGTTTGATAGGAAAGAAGGAGCAAACCACACTAGAGCACCCGCCTAACACCCACATGAGGGAAATAATATTGTGACAGATGATAAATCGAGGGTGTGGGAAAACAAAATTATCACATCTCAAGAAATGCAACTTTTCAGGCGGGACCAACATCTGAATAACTCTGCAAGCTCAAGCTTTTATGATATTGTTTACCGGCATCTGAGATTTGCGGTCAGATGCTCCGCTTTAGCTCGCAAAAGACCTTAGTTCGATTCTTGTTTAGTGAAAATTTTTATCGAGTACCTTGGTCTTTCTTCTGGGATATTGTATTATCCCTCTCAGCCCAGGTTAGTCCTAACTGGCAGGATCGAAGCCCACCCAAAGAATTCTCCAAATTGTATTGGTGGGGCCTTAAAAACAATTACATTAGAACATTAATATTCTTTTCCCTCGTATTATTTCTCGGCCTTTAGTTAAGGTTTTAGCAATGCGTTTTTGGCGAACAGTGCACTAGATGGTTCGTGGCGATCAAGAAGCCATTTTCTAGTAACAGAACGTCTTTGATCACAAGGTTACTACATTTTACTGTTTTGTTTTTATTGATTGAGTAGGTGTTGGCCTATCGACTCAATTTTGGTCATGTAAGTGCCAGTGTTTTGTTTTGATTTGTTTTTACGGAGGAAGAAGCTCACCTGGTCAATGAGTATGTCACCAGATGTGGCTACGTCGTAGTCCGTTCCACACTCTTCCATCCAGGAGAGCAGGGTTTTCACGTTCTTCATAGCCGCAAGGAAGGACACGGATTGGTCTGCCATAGTTTCTATCTGTAGGCCGTCTGAAATATACAAGAGTGGTATGTTTCTTTGGGTAAAGAGAAGCACAGAGATACGATAGCAGCCATAGATAGCATCCATAGTTTCTATCTGTTGGCCATCTTAAATATACAAGAGTGGTATGTTTCTTTGGGTAAAGAGAAGCACAGAGATACGATAGCAGCCATAGATAGCATCCATAGTTTCTATCTGTTGGCCATCTTAAATATACAAGAGTGGTATGTTTCTTTGGGTAAAGAGAAGCACAGAGATACGATAGCAGCCATAGTTTCTATCTGTTGGCCATCTTAAATATACAGGAGTGGTATGTTTCTTTTGGGTAAAGATAAGCACATAGATACGATATCAGCCATAGTTTCTATCTGTTGGCCATCTTAAATATATGCAAGAGTGGTATGTTTCTTTCGGTAAAAAGAAGCACATCCACACAATAGCTGTCATTTAGAGCGGGAAAAGGCACGGCAGAAAGACACTGACAACAGAGGGAAAGGTAAGAAATAGGATCTACCAGTGGCACCTTCCAATCACTCGCTAAATAAGAGTTGACATCATTGGGGAAATCTATTACCTTTCAAAGTTTAAAAATAGCGTTACAAGGAACACACTGTTTTTACTTTGACGTATTCATCATGTTTTGTTACGTCACCATCTCATGGTCAGTCAGTTGATCTAAAACTGACA